GGGCTCATCCTCCCGCTGGGCTGGGGCTCCCCTCCTCTCTCTGGCCAGCCCCGCCTCTCTCGGTGCCGGTTCCCTTGGCCTCTTGCTTCGCCGTCGCCTCTCAACTCTGGGCTCGTGCCTCTCGTGCTGTGGCCGTCCGAACGCCCTCCTGAGCTGGGCCTGACAGTCCTCCCAGTCTCGAGCCCTCTCCCGAATCTGTTTGGCCACCTGCCTCTCTGCCTGCCTCGTCCAGATAAGTAGGGCCTGTACCCATTCCTCCCGCGCAACCCCCAAACTCAACATGTAGTGCTCATACGCGGAGATGAACTCATCTGCGTTCCCCTCCTCCAATCAAATGGGCATGCCATCACGCCCTCTAGGGGAAGCTCTCAACCTCTGCATCCCGGCCTCCACATCTGGCCAAGTCAGGGCCTCCTCGCATATCTGAGTGATAGGCTCCTCGAACCGCCCTATACCCCTCAAGTGGTGAATCCTCTCCGCCACTGACCACCCTCTCCATGCCGCATGATCCCGATATACGTCTAAGAAGAGCTCAATGTTGTCGTCATCAAACTCAGGCGTAGGCTCCCTCCTAGGCGGCTCATGCTGCTCGCCCCTTCCCTCCATCCTCTAGGGCCCCTGGCGTGGCCGTGTGTCCCTCCCGCCCCTCTGCATGACTGCCTTCGAAAAGTCAGACCTGCACAACAGGTGAGAGACAACAAACAGGCACACAGCAGGGTCAGCAACTGGGCCATTGGCCTAGGGAAATCCCACATACTCTCCACACCCATCCACCCCAATCACCCACCTATCTAATCACCTGACCTGGGTAATACTTAGGCAAGACTTTATTCCCAATGAGGTCGCATGGCCCCTTACCTATTCCCTGGCCACGAACTTCTTCAGCCTTGTCCCTGATACCCAGTCTTGCCACCCTGCACCATCCAACTATTCGATTTGGTAGGCCCCAAATTCGCCACATTGCACAATCCTATAGGGTCTCAGCCACCGTTTGTCGAGTTTCCTAGACCATTGCTTTTCCAGCAAGGAGTCATATATTAACACCACATCTCCAACCTTCAACGGGTCCTTCCTTATTCGGGCCATCTGGTCCCACCTTATCTTGTCTTCCATACGACTTCTCTCCACTTGACCAGGGGCCTCCCGTAACCTTTCCTCAGCGGCTCCCACCTGCCGCGCCCGTATATCGAGCAGTTCTTCAAAGGACAGGTTCACTTCCAGGTCCTGGCGCCTCCACGTTTTCATAAAGCTTTCTATGGGAAAGRTGGCATGTCTTYCRTACCATAGTGTGGCTGGCGCATACTTGGTAGTCCTTTTCACTGTAACATTTTCCACGAAGAATGCTGCTCTCAGGAATTTCGGCCACTGGTTAGGCTTCCCCTCAGTCCATTTGGCCAGGAGATTCGTGATGGTACTATGCCCCCTCTCCACATGTGCGTTTGCCTGGGGGTGCGCGGCATTTGCTACCACGTCGTATCCCGCAAACAAAGTCCCCACCTCGTTACAAGCAAACTCCGACCCCCGGTCCATCACAAACTCTCTGACAAATGGATAGCGCAAGTAGTACTCTTCGATGCACCTTGCTAAAACTGGGCCAGTTTTCATACGAATAGCCTGACCGTCCACGAACCCGGTAAGGTTGTCCCGTGCGTCGAAGATATAGTTACTTCCGTCCTCCCCAAGTGGCATGAACAATAGGTCCAGGTGTACGACTGCACCCACTTCCCTTTCCAGTCTGGGGTGCAGGGGCTCCCCCGGCCTTTGCGCTGACCTCAGTTGGCAGGGTACGCAGGACTGGCAGTATTTGATGACCATAGTCAGCATTCCATCCCAATGGTATAGCTTACTTATCTTTGGACATGTAGCACTAACCCCTCTGTGCCCTCCTGCTATACCATCGTGTAAGACTGCTATGACATCGATTTGTCGGTTCCTCCCACATACGATCCTCTTGGGGTTTCCAACCTATCGCTTTATAAACAAATGACCATCTCTCACTACGTAGAGATGCCTCATCTTCTGGGCTTTAGCGCTTGCATCCCTATCCCTCATCTCGCACGACAGGAGTAACCCCAGCTCCGTATAAATTCCGTCATACTCCTCAGCACGGAAGGCCTCCCTAATTTTTCCCTCTTCGAACTCGTCGTCCTGGCTCTCGGGAATGAGAAGTTCGCCCTCTTCGGGGCTGACTGCGCTCCTCTGGTCAAAGTTCCCCTGCAGGAGCGTGTTGGTGAGCAAGTACATTCCTCCCATTAGTTGCTCATGCTCCTCTACCTGGGTTGGGCCTTCCTCTATCGTCCTTACCTCCTCCGCTAGACTATGTGTCCCTGCCAATGCCAACCTCATCATCCAACCAACATCCCTACTCCCCCACGGATTTTCTTCCTGGAAGGGCTTGAGGACCAACTCCTCCTTCTGCTCGTACCCCTTTGGTGCTAGCTATATAGGATGTGTGACACAGCTAGGCACCCTCAACGACCAATGTGGAGGCGGACGTCCTCCTCCTGGTCCAAGAACCCGTCGACTGGTGGGGTATCTTCACCTGACTCTTTGTCCGCCCCATCCCAGTTATCACGACTCAACCCATCTGCCCTGTTCTTGTCCTCGGGAATCCTCTCCAATTCAAAGTTAAACATCCAAATGTAGGTCAACCACCTCGCGATGGTTGGGTCAGATGGAGTGTAACTTTTCAGGGAACATGCTAGCGCGGTAGGGTCCACCCTCAAAATGAGTCTCCTGCCAAAGATATAGTTCCGGACGATCCTTAGGCAATGGAGTACCGCCAACGTCTCCTTCTTAAACTGGGAGTAATTCCTCTCAGCCGTATTGAGGGTGTGAATTTCAAACCTTAACGGCCTCTCCTTCCCATCCGCATCTGCCTGAATCAGGACCCCTCCTAAGGCAGTTGGCCCATTGTCCGTCTCGACAACGAATGGCTTCTCCTCCGTAGACTCGTAATTCTGTGTTCCCAACACCAAGCCTCCTTCCTTGAATTTTCTCTTCATCCTTTCCACAGCCTTTTCCTGGTCTTCGCCCCAGACCCACTCCTGATCCTGACTCACCAGCTTCCTCAAATGCTCTGTCTTGGTGGCGAAGTCCTTAACAAAACTCCTTCAAAACCCGTAGGTCCCAAGGAAGCTCCTCACGTCCATTATCGACTGGAAGGGGACTGACCACTCTAGGATCTTATCCGTTTTCTTCACGTCTGGCCTCCGCCCCTTCTCGTTGCAGACAAAGACCTTTACTCTGGAAACTGGTCATACCCAGAGTAAAGGTCTATAAGTGAAATTATAGGCCTCCCTGCGCATGACTCCGATAGGGCGTCCGCGTTCGACAATCCTCCCTCGTCCCGCACCGTCACTGCATTCAGTCGTTGCAGATCCTGCACCCACCGCAGCGTTCCGTTCGGCTTGATAAAACAAAACCAAGGGGAAGCATACGGTCCACTGGAGTAATCTGCCACATACGTCCTCATCTTCCCATCCAAGTAATCCACCGCCTTCTTCTCCTCATCCGGATTCGGGTACCGCGCGCCCCTCTGGTTTCACGGCTCGTGTGGGATGGTATGGATTCGTATCATCGGGATCTTATCCACGTCCAACCTCCCACGCTCGTCATCCTTAAACGCATACGCGCAATGCCTCCTCCTCATGGTCTCCACCATCAAGGTCCTCTCTTGGGGCGACAGGAAGCCAGGCTCGCCAATTATCAACCCTTCCTCATTCTCCTTATTGATGCGGCACGGCCAGGGTTGTCGAGCCCCGGCCCCGGGGCCCCGACGGGGTTCCGGGGTTCCGGGGTTGGGCACCCCCAACCCCGGCTCCAGACCCCCCCGCAAAAAAAAAAATTCAAAAAAAAAAAAAAAAAATCAAAAAATAAAAATAAAAATAGTGGGGGGTGCGCAGCGAAAGCGCGCACCACATGGGCT